GACCAGGGCACAGCCGTTCGCATGCCCGTAACTCTGCTTCCGCTTTCTCTTTCTTGGCGACCAGGTTTCCTGTCTTTGTTTGAATCGTGCTTCGCTGCCCGTTGCTCCTTTCAACCCAACTCTGTGTTTTCAACACTCACCTTTTTGGCTTGCATCTTGTGTGCGGGCATCACTCTATCAGTGGCACACATGCGTGTTGGTCTTCTGAGCCTACGAGGCCCGGAAGCCCACCTACCTCCACACTGAGCAGCACTTCAGTGCTGAAGGACTCCAGTTCTTCCCTCTTGTGGCTGAAGCCTGTGGGGGAGGGTGGGGTGGCACCTGGTACACTCTCGGGGGCCTGCTGGCGGCCCGGTCGGGCGACACTCCCGGACCAGAGACCGACCGGCTCCTCCAAAGTCTTGCCGTCGCGCTGCAGCGCGAGAACGCAGTCCTCCGACGCTTGCCTGTGACGGCTGAGGCTCATGCAGCTTTCGCTGAACCCTGAGCCTTTGTCGAGCCCTACGTTCCTGGCTCCCCTCCGCCCTGTGCTTTCCTCCCCCGAGCTGCGACGAGTCATCCCGTAGCTCCTTGCCAGCCCGTGAGCTGCCATGGGTCATCCCGGCAGCTGCATTGCCCTCTTCTACTGACCGCGTGAAGGTAGGTGTGCGTAGCCATGAGGGGCCTGATGAGTGGCCTTCCCCCTAAGCCCCTCCCCGACCTCTCATGGGACTGACCACACAAGTTGGGCAGGTACCACCATAGTGCACACGAATCATTCGGAAGTGAGCGTCAGTGTTGTTGTGGCTTCTGGGACTTTGTGACACGCATCCAGTACAGAGTTTTTAACTGCCGCTGTAAAGTTTGAGAATGATGCACCCCTGCAGGTCGGCAGCCTTGACCAAAACAGACCTTAGCTAGCACCATCAGGGGATGGAGACAGGACTGCCTTCCCAAACTACTCTGAGAAAGCTGCGCTCTCCCCAAGAGCACCAGCTCCATTGGGAACGAGCTCAACCTCATGCAAAGCCAGAGCGAAAGTGTGGACCTGCATGCTGGTTCCTGAGCAAGACCTGTGGCCTCAGCGATTCCAGAGAGGCCCTGGCTGGCGTAGCGGGCTCTTGTCGCTGAACTCCTTGCACCACTGACAGTATGTATCTGATTGGTCAGGTGACCACATGTGCAGTCACCTTTCAAGCTGCGAGGTCCTCCTTCGAATATCCGCCTGGGAACTCTACGTCCTGTACCGAACTCTATACCATGCTGCATTCGAAATAGACGTCAAACTTGCCCGCCTTCTCCCCAAACAGATACAAGGCAACGCTCGCCTCAGATTTGTTCGTGCGACAGGAGCTGCAACAAAAGCGTGTTCGTGATTCAGCTCCAGGCTGCGCATGCATTTTCGTTCTCCTGCCCTGCAGCTGCCATAGCCATCACCACTCCAAAGAGATGCATTGAATTGCACACAACGGATTCGAACAGCTGGGGAGTATGCCTTCAAAAAAAGTGACCCCGAAGTTGCGGACACAGTCAGCCTTACCAACCCTCTGAGGAGACTTGTAGCCACTCAGCCCGCAGTGACAGAAGCACGGGATGCGGGCCAACATCCCAATCATTTCCTCGCTGCCATCGTATGCCGCCGCGGCCAGGATTGCCTGCTTCGTGTAGGGATCTAACAGAAGATGGCACGAGAAAACTGCTCCATCGCTTTGCCTCTGCCACCAGAAGCCGCTGCTCGCGGTACAGCTGGCACACCTAGAGGCGTAGAAAAGCAGCGATACAGCTGTGGGCGTCCTGGTTCCTGCCTGGCCACAATCTATTAATGCCACGCGTCCACCTTCGAGCACAAAGATATTCCTGACGAAGCTTGGCTTTTGCTCAGAAGCTGGGCTGATACATGGTCAAAGCATGCACGAAGATGCACTGCCCAGCATGTCCCGGGATGTGGATCTCCGTGAATGAACCCAGAAGAGAAGATCATGTTACCTCAGTGACGAATCTCCTGAAGTGATCTCCAAATTTCCACATCAAAACAATTCTTTCCAGATTCCAGGGCGGCCCAGTGGCCGTATGCTGTCGTCAGGGCCTCTAAGATCTGTCGGCCCAGTACCTCCAGCTACGAGTCTGCACATGGCTTGCATCATTATTGACTTGCTGTTGGCATTCTGTCTGGGATGAAAGACAACACATTGTTGCGAGCAGGGTCCGCAGGGAGCTTCCAGGTGAGGCTTCCCTTGGCAAGGCATGACTAGCGGATGGCAACGTGCCTTGCCCGCTTTGCTGTCAAGATCAATCCCCAGCTCCTTCTTTGTGGCATGCGCATGCAACAAAACTTGGAATGTAGTCCCACTCTGAGCATGCAAGGATGAAGCAGCCACAGCTCTGCAGCAAGTGCTGAACACAACTGCACTCCTTGGCTTTCTCTTCCAGCTTTGAGAGCGGCGTGCCCTTGATGAAGTCCATCACTGGCGGGGAAACTCGTTGACAAAGGAAGCAGCAACAGGAACCGACATAAAGAAGCTCAATGAGCTATTCGGACTGTGTTTATCTTTCTTTTTGGATCTAAGCGCAAGCGGGGCAGCATTTGCAAGGTCACGACGCTCTGAACACAGCGCATGTGTCACATGCTTTGCTAGCAGAAGCAAACCTGACACGCGTCATCCAGAGTTCTGACGGTTTTTTTACGGTATGTTGCTCTTTTGCTGGCTAGCGTGCTGCAAGCAGGTAGCCAAAACTACGACTCAGGGCCCATGTCAAAACCAGAACGGTACATAGCACAGAGAAGTTGTGAAGAACAGTCACCAGAAAATGCGACGAAAACGTTGCAACAACCCTACCAGAAAATGTTTCTATGTGTGGGCAGCAGTGCCTGAAAATGTTTCGTAGATTTCCTGAGCCCCGCAGCTGTTTGCTCCTACGTACCAGGAAATGTGATTGGAATTTCTGGCCACGCTAACCAAAAAATAAGTTGCAGTCACGTGCCTAGGACTTTCCGGGTCGCCATGCCAGGAATAGGCTGCGGCACGACCTCAGCCGCTCAGTACACCATGCAGGCCTGTGATGTGAGCGAGCCGGAGGCTTTGTCAAGTCACTTCATGTCTTGCAGGGGCTCATCTGTGGAAGGCATTGCTCAATCTCTAGAACAAGAAACAGGCTTTCTTCTCCAGTTGAGGTGTGCCTTGAAACATTTCTCTGTATCACCCAACCCTGAGCACCCATGCCCTATAGCGGAAAAAACCAACCGCACACAGCCGCAAACGACCCCAAACCCTAGAGTGTAAACAATCCCAAGCCCTGGACCCTAAGCAAGACTGAATGATGAACCTTAAAAAAGACCAAATCCTAATAAGCCCGAAGAACCCTAAAGGCTAAACAACGCCACACCTAAACCCGTAAACTTTAGACAGGCCCAAACAGTAGCAGCTAAAATCATGCGAATGTCAATCTTGGAATTCTAGGTATAGGTCCCGATTTTGGGATGGGGTCTATCTTTTGACGGGCAACCCCCACCCAACTTGCAGAGAAGCCTAGGCGGGCTACCATAAGTTGGGGTAGACACTCTGCAAAGAGGTCAATCCAAAATTCCAATGATTAGAATCTTTCGAAAACTGAGAAGGGTTTACCTATAAGTTCGCCTCAAGGACAAGGTACAAGTTCCACATCTAATACAGGCGTCGATATTCAGCTGTATATGATATGCAGGTTCATCGACGCCTTTGATGGATGGCAAATTACCTGACTTGCCAAAGCTCGCAAATGGAGCTGCTGTCCCCTCATGATCCTTCAGTCTCACTCATGTGCCTTTCTGACGCATCGCTAGCGTCTGAATGCTTGCTCCACCGTAATGGTGGCCTTTAACCCGTGATGCACACTGCGACGCCTACTTGGCTTGCTGGCTCTATTTCATCATCTCACCATGTTGTGGCCACATAGGAACAGGAAGAACCGAACTGCTCCAACCCGATTTTGAAATTAATTTGCAGGCATGCCCACAATTGCCTTTAGGCAGCTGCAGCACAATGACATGGTCAGGAACCATGCTAAGATCGTCTGAGCATGCCAATAAATTAGGGACTTCTGGAAGGCTGATGGGACCGGGCGGGAAAAGAGCAGTCATTTAGGTATTGTCGGCGTTTGCATCGCCACTCCACCAGACCGTTGCAAGGGACAACGGAAACCAGGCATTGTGCTTCTGGATCCCATGCTACTAACAAACAGCGAAGCAAACGCCGCCCATGACGCTCGCTCTGAGCAAAAATCAGTCCATCAAGTTTGTTGGCAGTGACATGCTGCAAGGCAAGATGCCAAATCCCCAAACGTGGGAAACATCCTCTTGAGTTGTCCTCTGTCGAATCTGAGCGCAGAGTAAGCCTCTGGCCAGAGGCGACTCCAGTTCACGGCCAAGTGGATCGTGCCGGATGGAGGCGGCCACCTGCACACCCCGCTGCAAAACTAGGCAAGCAAAAACAATCTCGCAGCGCATGACCACAAAGCCCGAATCTTTGCACAAGACTTTTACAGGAATCACAAAGGTATTCGCAAAAAAAAACTATGACAGAACCCCGGCTGCATAAAAGACTCAAAATGACCTGACGAGCGACATCGAGCGACACAGGGCAAGGCTTTTGTGGCATTGGACTGAAGGCTGCTTCACTTCGCGGCAACATACAACTCGCTCGATACACCAGGCTTTTGTTCCGGCCATTCAGCGGAAACACTGGAAAACTCCACGGGTTGCTTGCCCAACGGGGCGACCCCAGGCAGGTCACACTCCAAGGCAGCAGATAGGTCTAGAGCTGGAACTCTGATAAAGTTGAGGTTGCCAATTGCCTGTTACACATGGCAGATGCTTTTGCCAGGAGGATAAGATCTTGCCCATGTTCGTCTTCAAGTCAGCTGAATCGCTTGCAGGCGAAGGCCTGCTGTGGGCAACAGGAAGCTGTCTGCGCGATGCCACAACTGAAGAGGCGTAAATCTACTGAGCATGCCACGCAACTGCGCAGAGCGGAAGAATGCGGGCATCACTGCTTGCGAAACTTCCTGCGAAGACAACTTTGGAAACGGCCCTCTGTTTTTAAAGGCCGGCCTGCTTCCAGCTGCAGCCAAGTTTCCAACCAGCTGACACTCCATTTGCAAACATAGTTATGACAAGACCCCATGGCATCAGTTGGTGACTGATAAGCACCTTGGCAACAGAAGGCCCCCGGATAACTCATGTCTAAAAGCAGCTACACAAAACACGTTCAGTTGCCACAAAGCCACTTTGGTGCCCTCTTCGTCCATCCTTACAAAGGACACATTCGCACGGATGCTCTTGAGCAAAACACAAATGGCAATGCCTGCACCTCACCTCATCACACCCATCTCATGTTCTTAGAGGAAGGAATGCAACTTCTGAGAACTCGAGGATTCCGCATACGTCCGCTCACTTGACGTTGCATGGTGTGCTCAACGACTTTGTTTCGACAGCCCCATCCCAGTCGCGCCAAGAAACGGATCGCGTGGCTAGGATCGCTGGTGGCGCGAATCGGATTACGATATTTAGGGAGTCGGATCGAAATATTGCGGTGATGCAGCACGAAATGGTCAACTGGCATAGGAATCGATTCAGGGAGTCTGCGGCTCGGATCGCGCTCCGAACAACCCAAACCTACCCGTAAACAACCTCAGACTCCGAGGTTCCCGCACAAAACCCTGAACCCAAAAAACAAGCCCTAGAAATCCTTCCGAGCAGCTTAAACCCCGAACAACCCCAAACCCTTCCCTGATAGTCTAACAGCCTGAAAAGTGAGACAGCCCTGAAGATCAAAGCGGTTCTGTCAAGCGCTGACTTTTGGAGCTTTATTTGCTTGAGCATTCCTAGTCCATGCAAGGCATGCTGATGCTGATTTTCTTTCAAAAAAGCAAGCCGTCAAGCCCATTCATGCTACTGGACCACCTACTTGAAGGTACTCATATGGCAAGCCGGGTTCAATATGGGACCACTGAATACGCGTTCCAAGACCCTCCTCTTGAAGGCAGAGAAGATCTGTACAGTACATGTAGGAGCATTCCCTGTGGGTCCAGGGTTGCAGGGTTGGATTAACCTGACAACCCAGGTTGAACGACTTCTTTATTGTTGCCACAGAACGGACAGAATCAGCCAAGGGTGGCACAGTCACGCCAAAATCATGCTAGAGTCGCGCTCCAAAGGCCCTAATCTCTTCATTAATTTAAACCCCTAGACTACGGAAAATCAGCGTCACGCCGAAGTCATGCTGGAGTCACGCTCAGCCGGGGCCTCCAGGGCCGAGGAAAACCTTTCCAAACCTTTCACCTTTCAAAACATCTCTGATTAAAGCCGTCTATCTGTCTAGGCATTCCACGCGCAGTCACGCAAGCCCCCGCCCCGTGCCATCGAATCAGTAGTTACTTTTATTGCGTAAGGTTTTCCGCATCCGCTTTGCAGGCGAATGCCGCTGACTTCACCCGAGTCTCAACAAAACCCAATGATTCACCTGGCCTAACGCCCCTGAAGCTCTCAAACAAATCATAGCCTAAAGCAGCTATAGTTATAGAATTTCTGGCGGCTACACCCTCTTTATACCCTCCCTGTATTTTGAGCGGGTTGATTTGCAAGCTTCAAAAACATTCCGCACACGGACCCTCCGCTAAATCCTGAACCCTCACAACCCTAACCCAAAACCCCCAACCAACCAAAACACAACAAACAACCTCAAACTTTGAGCACGCCCAAACTCTAGACCCTAAACACCTGAACCCCCAAACTCATCTCCCTCAACTGAACCTTAAAGCCCGTAACCCTCAAAACCCTGACCGTCCCAGCAAACCTTACCCAAGCCCTCTCCACGCCTTACGCCCCAAACGGCCGCAAGCCCCAGAAAAAGCCTCTAAACCCTGATCCCTCCCCAAGTCCACAAACTTACAACCCCGAACAACCTAGCTTTAAATCTTGAACAAGCACAGACCCTAAACCTTAAACAGCTGCACCTCATAACCCCAAGCCCGAAACAAACCCAAGCCCTGAACCTTTAGGAAACCCAAGCCCTAAGCCCGGCTCTAAATCCTCAGGCTTGAAGAACACGAGAGCCTCTGATCTCCTCCCGGTTTGGATTTCTGGTTGCAAACGCAATACTTTCGTTTTCGCACCTGAGCACCATTTTCGCTTCTCATTACAAAATTCAGAGATGCGATGAAGCCGAGATGGAGTCAAAAGCAACCACAACTTCCAGAAGGCCACGGTAACGGAATATAGCTGGCAATCTTCAAGCCCGGTTCTGTCAAAGATCGGTGGCGGCGGGGCGGAGAATTACTAAGTGGCAACAAAGGGCCGTATATTTGCACACTTCAGCGACATTTTTACAAGAATGGGGGGACATTCCCTGCCGGCAGCGGCTTCCGTCTGCCGACGCAGCAATTTCTTTTTGCACCCGAGCGCCAATCGTGGTCATTATACTGAAGAAATACGATGGAGCAGAGAAGGAGTCAAAAGCGGCCACAAATTCCAGAAGGCATTGGCTCCTTTACGTGCCTGTCAGAAGGATGTTGAAGCTGGCCTTGAGTTCCAGTGACCGTTTGTTTTTACCACTGAAGGTCCAAAGCACGTGGACTCTTGAGTCCAGCTTCATTCATAGCCAGCGCTGCCGCAGGCTTCTTGGTGGATTATTCAGGGCATTGTCGCAAAGGTGAAGGGCCTCAATGCACCTTCTTGGGTCTGGCTTGGAAAGCCATATCTGAAAGGGCCGGCCCCCAACATGGGCCAACATACTAGTGGAGGGCGGCAACAGCCACCTGCCAGACCTGACTACTTGGCAAAGAGGCTTCGCGCTCTTCGTGATATGCGATGGAATCTAGCTGGCGATCGCCAAGCGCAGTCTCCAGGCGGCGGTGACTCTGAAGGTACGCTGGCTTCTCGCAGGATCGGAACTGTTCTTCTCTACCTTTTGGTGGCTGTGTGGAGGGCTTGGTTGGCCATCCTCATGGTGGCATTGTTGCCGACAGCTGCGGCAACTTCCATGGCGCTAGCAACAAACTGAGTCATGGAGACGGTCGGCGGCGGTCATTGTCCTTGACTTCTGCCAACAATTGTTTCAGCAGCGTGCTGCGACCTTGCACTCGCTGCGAGGATTGTTACTCTGGAGCAGGGATTCTATGTTCTGCACAGGTCCACATTCGACAGCTATCAGGAGGGTTCAAATCACACAACTAGTTTTTACCAGTTCGCCACGCGGGTTCATCATTAACATCATCTCACCGTTATCAGGTCGGCGCCAGTCGCACTGCCTGTGTTTTTCAACAGATCACCACAAGATGAGAGGCGCAGCGTTCAGTATATCAAGATGCGCATCGGACGCGATATGGATGTGCAAATGATCTACAAGTGACGCGTAACGGGCCTGCAAGTGACGCGCAATTGACAGATCTCCGGTCGGCCGGTACAAGTGGCACAGGCAGCGTTTTATGAGTTCCGGAGGAGGTGCAGTGGCTTCTAAGTAAAGGACGCAAAGGCCACCTGCACTTGTGCAGACCGCTGGCGCTACAATCTAAACGATGGCACACTGTGTGCAATCGAGGCCTTCTTGCGCCGCAGATCGGGACGGGGCTTGAACATGCTATCGATACGGGGAAACCTTGGTCTCCGCGATGCTACAATGCTTTGTCAGCCATTTGTAAAACTCGCTGGCGGGAGTTGCATGGAGCAACACCGTAGTAGAGACTTCATCTGTATAGATCAATGGTGCCAGATCGATGGGAGCTGCAGTAGCTTCGGTTGC